GGCATGCTGACAGGGTAACTTCAAAAATCTTTAGACTTGAGAGTCCAAAAAAACAAAAAGAGTACATCTTCCTAAAGGAGCTCAATAGACTTCTCATCGTCTTTGAAAACTCTCATATTTTTCTCTATCCAAACTATCCACAAGATGCATTTCTGCTGAATGAAAGGAGAGGAGATCCACTAAAGATCTGCAAAGAGAAGATTGTGGTGGATCAACTCTGCGCTCATTTGATGTTGAAGGCACGATCCTGTTCCATAAAACTCGGGCAACTGGGCAATGATGAAAAAGGTTGCTAGTGCATTCATATTCCCTTTTGCATAAGGAGCAACAAAGGCTCTTTGGAATTGTAAGGTTCTTAAAAAGTGTAAAGTTTTTATATCGACCCTTACCATAGAAGGTTTCAACACTGTGGATAGAGTTCCAAAAGTAAAACTCTCCACTGCTCTTAATATTATGGAGGTGAAAAGAATTGAGAGATGTCATTATTTAGGTGTTGAATTGGTGCGTTACTATCCTAAAACTCTTTGGAATTCAATGGTGTTTCCATAGAACAATCTAAGATACTCTTATTCAGAATTTGTGTGGAAATTCGAAGGAAGGAAGAAAACACTATGGAGCGATGTTATTAAGGCCGTTGTTTAGGAACTTTGGCTTCAAAGAAATAGAATTTTTCAAGATTTTTATTTTTTAAATGATTTAGGGCCTTCTAATTGTAACGAGTGGACTGTTCAAAGTTTGTAGTTTATTACAAGGAGGATTTGTTTTTCTCTTTTGGCTTGAGATTGGTCTTTGGCTTACCTGATTTTGGTTTTCCTTTTCCATGTAGTTTCCACTAAATCAATGAATAGTGTTTCTCATTTCCAAAATATAACAGATCTAGAGGTGGGAAGAGGTGTGAGACAGCTAAATGTTTGGCATCTAGTTGGTACATCCTTCCTTAGGGTTTCAGCTCTCTAATTTCTTTTGTTGTTTATGCCAATTGGAGCCCTTTTTTGGTCTCTGGTAGATACCTTATCTACCTCTTCTGTAATCTTCTTTTGTGTTAGTAATACTACAAGTATCCTATCGGAAACTTCAAGACCAAAGAACAAAAGAAAGAGAAGTAAAGGACTATACTATTTGGAAGCATGCAATTGTGCTTGGTGTTTGTTTTAAGTTACATCAATACATTCTAAATTATTTATGGGAAAGTTTAATTTGAAATGAAAATTAACTGAAGAGCTAAGCACGAGGATGTTTTGGGCTTCACAGTGGAAATTTGTTTTTGCCATCTTTTATCCTTCACTGTTGCTTTGATATTAATCTCAGCATTAATATTCATTTTAGGATTCTTTTACTTTATCACCTTTTAGATGTACTTTTCGTTACTTGAATAAAAGTTATAACTTCCATTAACGGTACTTCATAACGTTTTTGAAGGATTCCTTTGAGATCCCTCGGGGTCAACCTTATAGAGGAGGAGACATTGAGCTAGGGGATCTGGGCATGGAGGATTTCTTTAAGAAGGTGTTTGAATTAATTTCTTTTGCTCTCTTATGGTTTTAGCAAGTAGTAAATTTGATGTTGCAATTTAAGAATGTTTCCAATGACTCGGTAAGGGTATATACATTATACCTGTTTATCTTGTCTTCTATCTTATGCAGGTTCAAGATATTGAAAAACAGAATGAAAAGCTGGATAGGTTACTGAGAAAGCTCCAGGTATAAACGTGAACTATACCTCCTTTGTCGTATTTGTTGTTATTTTGAATGCATCTCCTTGGACAACTCTAAGTTAACTCAAATGTAGTAGGGTCACCAAAGGCACAGTCAATAATCTAAGATAATATTTTCAAAGAGGGATTCTTAATAATATTTATTGTCATAAAGTTATATAATCTTTAAAAAGAATATTTGTTATAATAAATATACAATTTTCTACCAAATTTTTTCCACCACTAACATCCATATTATATACAATTTTGGAGATATTATGATGCTGTTTTATGGGAAGTGTGAAGTGAGCTTTGAACTGCCTTGTATGATTTAGCTATCCTTTAATTTAAGGAAAAAACCATGTCTACACCTAAACTTGGCAAGATATATCAATTTTCACTATAAACTCTTAATTTATCAAATTGAACCATAAACTTAAATAGCTGTTACAATTTTACCCTATATTCAATTTTTGCTAATTCACCGACTAATTTTTTTTTTAAATTATGTAAACAGCTCTGAAAACTCACTAATTTAATAAAAATCAAGCTTTGCACAAAATTGACCATTAATTACATCCGCTAAAACTTGCAAATTTCAACCTAAAAAAGAAAAGAAAAAAAAACTAGCTATTGTGATTTTTGTCTGAATTATATCAATTTCATTTCAAATATATGGTTTACCATTTATTTGGCAGAGAATTTTTTTTTCAACAAAATCTGGTTAAATTGCAACATTTTTTAAAGTTTAAGGTAAAGACTGCAACATTTATCCAATTTTATGGTGCAATTTGATGAAATTGTTAGTTTGAGTAAAATTTGATATACCTTGCCAAAGTTCAGGGTTAAAGTTGATATTTTCCCTTTAATTTATTTTCAAGCTGCAAGAAAGCTTAGCCTAAGAACAGATGAAAAATGTCATATTTTGGTTATTAAGTATTCATCAAAGTATTGGGAATTACTATCCTTTTCTGCTCTGTTGTGTCAAAATTTGCTTCCAGGATTCACATGAGGAGTCCAAAGCTGTGACTAAAGCTCCAGCAATGAAAGGTAATCTATATAATCACTCATAAATCCTAATTACCTATTTTTATATATCAATTAAAAGTTGTATCTCGTTCCAAAAAAACTCCTAATAACCTAATTTACATGCAAAAGAGACTTGCTATAGAAGTTGATTTGCATAACATTGTTTTTGGTTTCTATTGCATGTAGTCAGTGATCTGCCGAATTGTCTTATGTTATCATGGGATGCAATATTGCTAGAACAATACACTAGTGCCATTTTTTAGTGTAATATGAAGGCTTAGAAACATGCATTGATGAGAGACATCTAAAAGATTATTCTACATGACAGTTTCAACAGGTTCAATAAAATTTATTATGGGTTAAACTTTGGAGGAAACTGCTTTTCTTCTCTTTTGTCTTTTCTTCTTTATTCTTATTTTAATTTATATTATTTGTTTTTTATAAGAAATGAATATTTCGTTGTTATGGTGAAATATAAAAAAGAGGCAAGAAAATCGAAAGCTATTGTAAGTTACATAAAAGCCTTCCAATTTGTCAAATAATCAACCAATCTATAATTTGAGGAGGGAGAGTAAAATTTACACCAACTAAGCGTAGAAAGAAAACTGTGCTTTTTTTTTTTTAACAAGAAACAACTTTTCATTGATATATGAAAAGGAGAAAAGGTTCAAGAATATAAACTCTCATAGGAGTGAGAGAAAAAGGAAAAGATGAAAGCAAAATATAGCTTGACAAAGAGCAATACAATCAACATGAGAGTGATATCAAAAGCCAACAAAAGAAACAAGCTAACTTCAAACAAAGAGATCCACCAAGATGTGATGACACACAAGAGAATTCAAACAAAAGAGAAAGAAAACTGTGCTATGAATCTAAGAGAGAGAGAGGACTCCTTGAAACATGGAACCAACGGTAAAAATTTTAGAAGGGCTGGGGGGCCATAACAATTTATTATCTGAGACTGTTGGTGAAACTGTATGTTGAGATATTCGTTTAATGAATTAATTAACCCAATCCATCAGCTTAAACTTTTGGATTGAGTGGTGGTTTATTCATCCTTAACATGGTATCAGAGCGGGAGGTCCTATGTTCGAATCCCTACGTTGTTGTTTCCTCCCCATTTATTATAATTTCCACTTGTTGGGTCTTGTTGCAAATTTCCAAGCTCGCAAGTGGGGGGTGGGTACTCATTTAATGAATTAAATTTACTCAATCCATCAGCTTAAACTTTTGGGTTGAGTGGTGGTTTATTGTGAGAGTCCTATTAGGGGTATAGAGGAATATTAGTTTGTTAGTATGAAGGGGTAGTATGGTAATTAGAATGGTAATTAGTTAGGAGAGTTGTTATAAATAAGGGTGGTAGGTAGAGGAGGAAGATATCTTGGGAATAGTATTTTGGTGAATGACTTGAGAGAGTTCTTGGGAGAGAGATAGCCCTCTCGAAAGGCTATCGGTATTGTAATTATTATTTTGAATTGAAATATAGTGTTCTTGTTAGGTTCTTGTAATCGGATACCTAACATTTATTCATCCTTAACACTGTAGAGTGTAAATGTGAGAGAGTGGCCTATTCGTCAATTCCCTCATCCTAGAGCAATCTACAAAAGCACGTCTCATGTCTACAAGGGAATAGACCAGACCTTGTATACCATGGCATATTTGAAGGTAGTGAGAGCGTAGTGCCAAGGTATCATTATTCATCAAATTATCATTCCAGAAACTGATGTCGCTCCCTCTGCCAAATTTTCCAAGTGCTCTACTTTTGACTTGGACAACCAGCTTGGTGATAAGTGACCATGGACCATAGTATCGGGATGCGTTAGTGCTTTGCCAAGAGTCTGTTCCTCTTTCTGCAGCTTCATGTGATGACTCTTCTCCAAAGGGATTCTTTTTTCAGTGAGATATCACCAAATCCATTTGAAAAACAAAGTTTGGTTCCTCACTTTTATATTGCCAATTCCCAGACCTCCATAAAAAATAGGTAGGTTGCTGCACCTGCTTCCAGTGACATGGTGTGATTTCCCCCCATTTTTGGCTCTAGACCATAGAAAGTCTCTGAAGAGTTTTTTCATGCTGTTTGTACAAGTATAGGGAACCGACCAACTAACCCAACCAATGGTGGTTGGTCGGTTTTGAGACCATGTCAGTCGGTGGTCGATTTTGCATAGTTGGTCAGTCGGCCCATAGAGAGTTATAAGGAACTGACCAACTGACCCATATGTAAAGAAAATAAAATAAATAAAATAAATTTTAGGCCTCCTTAGGGTTTCTTACTGTCCCTTCCCCTCCCTCCCAGCCATAGGCCATTTTCTTCCTCCCAGCAATCCCCTGCTCTCGCTTCTCAGTCTCCGCTCTCCATCCTAGCCGCCCCTATTATCAGTCTTCATCCAGCTGATAGCTCCCCTTCTCTCAGTCTCCATCCCACCCGATTGCCCCCCCTCCCAGGTTCCATCTCTCTCATTTTTCCTTCAACTTCAAACTGTACCTTGGTCCCTCTCTGTTTCAGTTCTACCTCCCAGCCTCTCAATCTTACCGTCTCACACACAGTCTCTCTCTCTTCTAGTTTCAAAAAACAAAAAACAATAATAACAATAATAACTGTTGGTTTAAACCGAAACCGGCCGAACCGGCGGCAAGAATACAACACAAAAAAATGTCAATTTCTATTTCTAGAAATCGAGACCGATGAACGGGTCCAGATTACATATAATTGCTTGTGTAATAGTCAACCGTCCACCTTTAGATCTGTATGTAGGTTGATGGTTTTCCATACTGTTTGAATACTATACCTATGTACAATTATTTTGGCCCAAGAATGGCTAATCAAGATTTCAAGAAATGTTATGTAGAACTTTTTTCTCAAATTATGGTTGTGGATTGAGCATGTTGGGATCACGATTATGCAAATCAACTAATCAAACGCTGAAGAACTCCATTTTATCTCGACATTATATGGGTGTATGTCATTCTATTAACTTTCTATACTGGTCTTGGAGATTAATATAATCTAGTTTCATTTAGCTAAACAAAAATATAATTTTTTTATAAAATAATTTGTAATCTAAATTTTAGTATATGCTTATTTACCAACTCAAAGGCTGCATGGTCAGTTTACGTGATATCTATGTGGCTGCTTAAGATTCCATTGTTGTCTACCTTACCGATGTGTCTTGTTCTCCAGCAATCAAACAACGGATGGAAAAGGATGTCGACGAAGTTGGAAAAGTTGCACGTTCAGTAAAGACCAAAGTCGAGGAACTTGACAGAGAGGTGAGTTCTTTTGCTGCGTCAACTTGATATTGCATGTTCTTTATGAATAACCTTTTGTTAACTGTCATACCCTTTGCCAAGTGATTACCAAATTTGACCATGATTCCTAAAGAAAGGATTGCTAAGGCCGCCTTCCACATTTTTCATTTTTGGGGTGTTGGTGTTCCAGAATCTCGCAAATAGGCAGAAGCTCGGGTGTGGAAAAGGATCAGGCGTAGATAGATCAAGAACAGCTACTACTCTGTATGTTATATACAAACTCTTCAGTTTCATTTTTAACTTTTTTTAACTTTTCATGATTGTTCCCACGTTCATGGAAGAATTGTATCATAATGCAAGATAAATTTACTAACCATTAATTTAATGGTGTGTTTTCTTCCATCACCATCTATTGGTCAACTTCTGTTAGATGAAACTAATAGATGTACTAGACCTATATAAATGTGTGCATTCAGAATATGGACATAAAAATGGCCTCTTTTAGCTATTCCAATTTGGTCTAGTTAGAGAGGATGGGGTTAGAAAACAATTGATAGATAGTTCTTCCATTGCTTTTTTCTCAGCATTGTGATTTTCTTTTGGATAAGAGACAAGAAAGAGATAACATTCAAAAGGCATGAGCACCAAACAAGACAGCCCAAAGGGAAAAAGGACAAGGCTTCCCTGCTTCTAGAGAGAGAGTCAAACAAAAAGCCTTTAATCTAGGTTAATCGTAGAGGAGGTGTAGTTACAAAAAACACTTGTGAATAGCTTTTCACTTGGATTGAACTATATAAAATCACAAATATAGTCAAACGAATTACATTTATCTGTAAAATTTACCGTTTCTTTCCTTTTAAATGCACCACGAAAGGGCATTTCTGGCATTCACTCAAAGCATTCTACCTTTTTTCACTACCAACCTGACAGAATCTCAGGAAGCCAGCTTTCAATATTGTTCAGGCAGCACCATTCTAAGCCAAACCTTTTACAAATAAACCCCTAGAGCTTTGCAGCAAAATTGAAGTGAATAAAGAGATGGGATAGAGATTCTTCATTGCTCTTATGCAATACACACATTTGTGGGAAGAGCCGCATATAAGTGAGTCTCCTTTGAACTTCGTCTAGAGTATTTATCCTACTGTGAGCTATCTTCCAGATGAAGAAATTAACCTTTTTTGGGGGCATAACTTTACCAGATTAAATTGAACAATGTTGTTGGGACACTTTTAAAGGAGGGAGTAATACTTTGGATTTGACATAGATATGAGAAAAGAATTGTCAGATAACATGGCGCCTCTCTTCTTTGCATCTTGTTTTGTAGGAATATGAGTTCTGTTTTGTGAAAGACTGTTGGAGAGGAGAGAGAAGATTTCCTTCTGGAGTTTGATGAGAAATCCGAAGGAAGCTCAAGGGCTGGCAAAGGTTGTAAAAGGGACTTTGCCATGTGTCAACTCACACTGAGCTACAAGCTCTACTTTTATAATTTTTCCAGGCCTTCCAAGTGGAGATCCTCTACAATTCTCTTGTGCGTCTTCAACTCCCCTTCATGCTGCCCTCTTACCCAGTGATAGACCCTTCACCCTTGGTTATTAATGTAAATTGTAGGAAGATGATTAATGGTGTGAATCAAGTGTGCGAGCTGACTGTTAAGAGCTGCGAGGTTCTTGTGGTTAGTTAGTTACACTGTAAGCATGGCTAATCTGTAATTAGAAATATATAAACTTCATGTATGGTTAGAAGAGGTAGCTTTTGGCTCTGGCTTGAGTCTTGGAGAGTAGAGAGTATGTAGCTCTCGAATCTTAAGTTTACTCTACCCTCCAGTTGGTTGGTATGTATCTCAGTTATCAATAATGGTTGAACTCTCTCAACCGTAATGGTACTCTACACTCTGCTCTGATTGTTGGCTTTTGGGTGGGGACTTTAATGCTATTAGATGGGCCAAAGAAAAATCCACCTTCAGAAGAACCACCAGACACATGAATTGTTTCAATTCATTTATCAATCATGCAAACTTGCACGACATCCCCTTAACAAATGGTCTCTACACATGGTCGGATTTCCGTGATCCTCCTACCCTTATCCTCATTGACAGATTTCTAGCTACATCCGATTTTCTCCAGAAATTCCAGAATGCTGTCTCCAAACGCGTACATAGACCAACATCTGATCACTTTCCTATACACCTCTCATTTGGACTAAACAATTGGGGCCCCACTCCTTTCAGGTTTGAAAGCGCTTGGTTACAACACCATTCCCTATTGCCATTGGTTGAATATTGGTGGATCAACACTCCCCTTAGAGGCTGGCCCCAGGCACGGTTTTATACGGAAGCTAAAAGGGCTTAAAATTGTTATCAAAACTTGGAGCAAATCGATTTTTGGAAGCATCACCCTCCAAAAAAATCAACGTTTATCGGAAATATCCCTTTTGGACAGCATGGAGGAAACAGGAACTTTGCTTGGAGGAAGCAGGAACTTTGCTTCCTATACAACACACACAGAGATGAACCCTCAAAGCACATCTTCTTTCTTTGATTGCAAACGAGGAGATTATATGGCTTCAGTGGTGTAAATCTAAATGGCTAGAGGCTGGAGATCTTAACACTTCCTTCTTCCACAGCATCGTTGCTGCAAAGAGACGGAAAAGCTCCATAACTGAAATCCTTTCACAAGAAGGTAACAGTCTCCTTGAAGAAAAGGATATTGAGGCTGAATTTCTATCTTTTTTTTGACAGATTATACACTAAAATGTTAGGCAGCAGAGTTCTCCCACCATCCTTAGAATGGCATCCGATCTCTCCACAACAAAGCCTTGATATTGAACAACCTTTTACAGAGGAAGAGATTTGGCGAGCTGTCAAGAACTTAGGGACGAACAAGTTCCCTAGCTCGGATGGATTCACAGTCGAGTTCTATAAAAAATTTTGGAACATCCTTAAGGCAGACATCATGAGAGTGTTCCAAGATTTTTTTAAAACCGGAATTATCAAGGCAAGCCTCAATAAAACATATGTTTGCGTCATCCCAAAGAAGCTTGATGCCCGGAAGGTTGGAGACTTTTGCCCAATCAGCCTCATCTCTTGTTTCTACAAGATTATCGCCAGAGTACTATCAGAACGATTAAAAGGCTTGCTGCCTCATACGATCACTAAGGAGCAATCAGCATTTGTTGCCGGGAGACAAATTCTTGATGCACTTGAGACAAATTGCTAATGAACTATAGAAGACTGGGACAGAATCAACAGAAAGGGAGTGGTTATCAAACTTGACATTGAAAAAGCTTTTGATAAGGTGGATTGGGATTTCCTTATTGCTGTCCTTAAAGCAAAAGGATTTGGATCCACTTGGAGAAGATGGATTAGGGGATGCATCTCCTCTGCAAACTATTCCATCATCATCAATGGTAGACCAAGAGGCAAGATAATCGCTTCTAGAGGCCTATGGCAAGGTGACCCTTCATTTCTTTTCTATTTATCATGGTGGCTGATGTGTTTAGTAGATTGATGAATCAAGCAGCTGGCACAAACCTCATCAAAGGTTTTGACCTAGGAAATAACTCTATGGAAGTCCACCATCTACAATTTGCAGATGACACCATTCCTTTCTCCCCTTTTGATGATCTCTCCCTCATCAAATGACAGCATTTTCCCTAAGGCTGGACAAGAACCTTCAGCATTATGGCATCAAGTGGTGGAAAGCATTTACGGTTTGAGTGATCTTGGTTGGTTCTCAGGGGAAAAACCGAAAGGGTGCACAAGATGTCCTTGGATAAACATCTCCCGTCATTGGAAAAAGGTTGCTTAAGGAAGAGGAAGCTGAAGAATTCATTGATCTACTGGCTGTTCTTAACTCCTATATTCCGAATAACATCGAAGGCTTCAGGATTATTTTCAGTTGCATCTCTCTGCAAATCCTCCACGGTTTCACCTCTAATGCCTTCTGATTTATTTAAGGCTATATGGAAAACAAAAAGTCCAAAGTAGGTGTGCTTCTTTGTTTGGATTATCATCAAAGGGAGGCTGAATACTGCTAACGTCCTTCAAAGAAAGCATTCTGCTTCCTGTCTACAACCTTCAATTTGTGCTTTTTGTCAAGCTAATGGGGAGGATCTGTTTCACATATCCTTTCAATGCCCCTTCTCATTGCATTGTTGGTCTATGTTATTCAAAGAATTTAATCTGTCACGGGTCTTCAGCAACTCAGCAGTGGATAACATTCTTCATCTATTCCTTGGCCCGGTCTTGCCCCCACAAAGGCGTCTGTTGTGGTTAAATGCTTTCAAAACCTTGCTATACGAGCTCTGGTATGAAAGGAACCTCCGAATCTTCAAGGATCGTCGTAAATCTCTGCTGGATCGATTCAGTTTGGCTAAATTTAAGGCTTCACAGTGGTGCTCATTGTCATCTTTGTTTGAGAATTACTCTCCCTCCCTTATTTGTTTTAATTGGGGAGGTTTCAACTGCTCTCTTCATTCTTAGTTAATTTTCTATTTTTAACTTTTATCATTTTCACTCTTTCGAGAGTTTGTATCCTTGAACATTTTTCATTCATTTTTATTAATTCAATGAGAAGTTTGTTTCTTGTTAAAAAAAAACATGTTCACCATTTTTAGGAAGTTTCTAGTCTCAATATCAACCGCCAAAAATCGGAGATTCTGGGGGTTAATCTGATGCAACTGAGCTGGATTCCACAGCAATAAAGTTGATTGCAAAAAGGGTTCATGGCCTAATACCTATCTCGGGCTTCCACTTCATGGCCATTATAGATCTCTATCATTTTGGGACCCAGTGGTAGAGAAAGTGAAGAAAAGATTACTCTCTTGGAGGAACTCATTCATCTCAAAAAGGGGACGACTTACCCTCATCCAAGCTACTCTCTCCAACCTACCCACATATTATCTATCCCTTTTCCCTATTCCATCTGTTGTTGCCCAATCTATTGAAAGCTTTATCAGGAATTTTATTTGGCAGGACAATCGTGAACACAAAGGCACAAATCTTGTCAGGTGGGAAATTGCTCAACAACAGATTGAAGAAGGAGGATTGGGTTTCAACAATATGAAGCTGAAAAACAGGGTGCTCCTTGCTTAATGGACGTGGAGGTATTTAAAAGAAAGATCATCCCTTTGGAGGGAGGTTATTGAAGCAAAATATGGAAGATCCATCTGGAATCACAAACGGGTATCTTACACCATACCAATCTGTAAAGTCCTTGGAGAGCTATCATCAAATTACAAGATTTGATCTATGAACGGGTGACTAATGCTGTTGGTAATGGTTATGGTACTTCTTTTTGGAAATCCCCCTTGATTTTGGATGAACCTCTTGCAAACATATACCCCCTCTTATATGCTCTTTTATAAAAAAGGAAGCACCTATAAAGGACTTTTGGTCGACTGAAACATAAGCTTGGAATCTGGGATTAAGGAGAAATCTTAAAGAAGAAATTGTTGAATGGGAAGCACTCTCACACAAGCTTTCTCCGGTTTTTTTGACAGAGGAAGATGACACAGTCATTTGGAGGCTTGAACCAAACGGCAACTTTTCAGCTAGCTCTCTCACCAAAGATCTAACACACCAATCCTCGGCCTCTTATACAAAACTATACAAAAGCATTTGGGAAGGCCTATACCCTAAAAAAGTAAAATTCTTTCTTCGGGAGTGCAGCCACAGAGCCATCAATACCTCCGATAAGCTCCAAAGAAGAATGCCTTATATGTCCATATCACCTCACTGGTGCCTGCTGTGCAGATCAGCCTCCGAATCAATACACCATTTATTTGTTTCGTGTACATTTGCATCAGCCTTTTGGAACTTCCTCCTCCTCTCGTTTGGATGGTACACTGCCTTCACATAGATCTCCCCATCCTGATGGAGACAACTCTCACAGGTCACCCATTTACAAAGGAATAGAAAATTCTTTGGGAGCACTTTATCAGAGCATTTCTCTGGATAACATGGAGAGATCGAAACAATCGAACATTCACCGTTAAAGATCTTCCCTATGACAGGATTTTTGGAGTCCATAGTTTTTTGGGTTATATCTTGGAGCAAATTTTCTCCCCTCTTTCGCCACTATAGTTTTACCTCCCTATTAATCAATTGGAAGTCCTTCATGTAACCCTTTTTGGGTCTTTTGTAATTTCATACCATCAATGAAATTGTTTCTTTCAAAAAAAAAAAAGGTACTCCTTCAATAGAGTTGGAAATAGTATAGAAGTCTTTGGTACCATTTATCTCCCTTGTAAAATAATTGGTCAATGACCAAGCTGAAGGGTTGGCCCCCTTCCCTCATGCAAGGAATTCTTGATGTGTGATCGTTCCACCTATCTTTTTGAAGTATCTTTCTGCATGAAAAATTCCACCCATGGGGGATCACTTCCATCTAACAGAGGTCGTTCCAACTTGCAGAGTGAAGATTCGTACATTCTTTTTTCATTCCTCTTAGTTTCGTGTTTCTCCCAACATTTTCACTCCTCCCTAGGCCTCTAATGGATTTTCCCCTTTAACGGTTTCTTTTGCATCGTCGGTACATTCTGTCACCTGTTGATCCTCAAAAGTTACTTACTCTCTCCAGAAGTTGCAATGTTCTTCTACATCTCAGGAGTATTTTGGGCTTCTTCAACCGACATCTCCAATCGTGATTCCATTGGCTTCTATTGGGAGAGACCCTTTCTATTATGCACTAGATAAACTGAAGCTCAAATGGTGAAGAAATGAGTCTGAAGCTTGGTAATTCAAAGTTATTAGACTTTTGAGAGGTCTGAAGCTTTCCACAAAATCCTGAGTATTAACCTGCCTAACTTCCATTACTCTACTTGCTATATAATATTCTTCTTCTTTCAGAAATGGGTCCCACTAACATCCTATTACAAAATGGCCTACTGTCAAATACTTGGAAAGGTTCAGTCTTAGTAGAGGCTAACTCAAACAGTCTCACCCGATTAGACAGGTTACAAATTTTATCTTGACCAACTAAGAAAAAAAGAGGGAATATCATAGGCAAACAGCAGATGACTTAGTTCAATGTTTATTTATAGATGTTGTATTGAATAGTCAAATGGTGTCTTCTTGGATTTTGTATTTTGGCTATAAATTCAAGTCAAAGTTCAGTTTTTGTTTTTCAAATTTGTTCTGATTCCTAGTGCTCCCTCAGTTTGTTAACTTCTCGATGTCATGATAAATATATTTGCTATGAACTGAATTTCTCATTGTTGATTGCATTATTTTGTCTTAGTGCCTTGAAAAAGAAGTTGAAAGACAAGATGACTGAATTCCAGGTAAGTTTTATTGATCTCTTTGTTGGATTGAAGTCATTATTGCCTAAGATCATGGGTTGAATACATGCATTGTAACATTGATTGTAGATTTTACGTGAAAAAATTCAACAAGAGTACCGGGAGGTTGTTGAGAGACGGGTTTTCACAGGTTTGATCCCTCGGTCATAGAAACTATGGTCCTTAAGTTTTATAATTTTGGAGTTATAATTGACACCATTGACTTCTATGGTTTACAGTCACGGGTGCAAGGGCTGACGAGGAGGTAGTCCTTCTACTATTATTAGAATTTCAGTTGATAATGCTTTGAAGTGCCATGCTTCAATTGTTATATGAACGTGCAGACGATCAAGAAATTAATTGAATTGTTATATGAACGTGCAGACGATCGAGAAATTAATTGAAACTGGGGATAGTGAACAAATTTTTCAGAAGGCAATTCAAGAACAAGGGCGAGGACGGGTCTGTCGTTTTGCCCTTATCATCCCTTCCCCTTCCTCCTTTCCTCTGTCACTTTCTTTGCTCTGAAGTATAAACGATGGATGGATGTTTATACTTAGAATCTTTACTGTGACACACCATTATTAATTAATGCCAAGGTCATCAGTATACTTCAAATTTCTGTGCCTTGATTCATTGATTTTGATATTCTTCTTTTCCAAATATTTGTTTATATTACTTTGTAGGTAATGGACACTCTAGCTGAAATTCAAGAGCGACACAGTGCAGTTAGAGAACTAGAGAGGAAGCTGCTCGAGCTACAGCAGGTACATTAGTAGATTTTATGCATCCAGGCACTGTTTCTTCATTCCCTAGAAGTGGTAGCTACGTAAACTCGAATATTAAGAGGAAAAGTTTTCAACTGTCAACCATACAATGATTAGTATAAGTTGTGTTTGGTGATCCTGACATATGTATCATTTCACTCATAAATTTGCTTATAATTCAATATCCTACTTTAATGTAATGTCTTTTATGCAAGTGCCAAATCTATCCAGCAGGTTCTTATTTTGAGACAGAAGCTGGTCCTGTGATTTGATTTTATGGCTACTTCAACGAAAACAAATCCTACAATTTTTATTTAGATACTTCTAGAAAACTGGAGAAAAAATAAGTAATTTTAGTTACGGTCTAGTCTAGTGTCTTCCTTCATACCTATTTAACTTTGAATGATATTTCATTAATTGGATTGGTCATAAATCCTTGGGGAATTTGTGAAAGTACATTAATTAAAACATTAGCATCTCTTGTAAGTGCTTCTGGGGAGTAGTATCTTAGGGAAAGTTGCATGGAAGGAGAATAGTTGTGGGTTTTCAATGTTTAGACAACAATCAGAAAAGGATTCTCTTTCCCTCTCCTTTTCATCTTTCCTTTCTTCTGATTGTCTGGCTCACACAGAAGAATGACTACATAACATCTACCAATTATCCTCAACTTTCCAGGTATTTCTAGACATGGCGGTGTTGGTAGATGCACAAGGGGATATGCTCGACAATATCGAATCACATGTAATATTATTTTGATCTTGAAATAGCATCACTTCGGAATTTTTGGTATTAATACTGTAATTAAATGTAAAATGATCGAACTCATAACCGTGTTACCAGGTCACAAGTGCAGTAGATCATGTGCAACAAGGGAATACCGCTCTTCAAAAGGCGAAGAAGCTGCAAAAGAATTCGAGGAAATGGATGTGCATTGCCATCATAATCCTTCTAATCATTGTTGTGGTCATAGTAGTGGGAGTCCTTAAGCCATGGAATAATGGTAAGGGTGCCTAAGTGCCCATCATCTCTCTGTATAAATATATCATTTCAAGAGATTTGTACCTTTGCCTGAACCTACCATTTGTGTTGATTTATGTTATCCATTTTTGGAACAAAGATGCTGGTGTGTCATATTGTTTTCAACATGAAATATATATATATATATATATATGAGCATATTCTTTATACCTTCTACAAACTGCCCATTTTCTTGACCATTCTGTATAGCTATGCACTTTTTTTTTTCTTTTCATTTTTTATTTCTTTCAAGTTCAGTTCATGGACTTCCCTGACGGGCTTCACTATGAGCTGTATGTGAGATAACTATGACTTAATGGTTATTGAATATGTGGTGGCAAGAAGATATTTAAACTTGTGAAGAAATCTATTTCTTTTTATCTTTAGTGTTCTGTGTCATTCATTGAATTTAAGGAATAGCTACCCTGAAACTGTGATTTTGTTTTATGGGGCAAAATGATCTGGGTACTGTTACTCTATCAATGTACTGTGAAAATACTGGTTAAAAAGCCAAATAATCAAATATTCGTTAAACATGATTAATTACCTTAAGTGAGGATTTGAATTTATGATCCAAAATGGGGTACAAATACCTACTCAAACTTATCCTTAAAGTTGGTGTAATTTTGAAATGGTTGCTTTTCTTGCAAGAATTTAGTTTGGCCAATTTCCATGGCCATTATTGTAGCTAATTGCTCGTGTCGTTTGTCTTTTAAAGGTCAAAACTGATTCACAGGGAAAAAAAATGGTAGAGTTCCATTTGAAAATTCTTCGGTGTCGATGGTTAAACCATAAATGGATTATCTATCAACATTAATAAAAATTAAAATTAAAAAAAAAACACATACACACAAGAAAATAATAAGAGACATCATCCGAATCAAGGTAAGTATCAAGTTTTTGTTATTTAAATATCTAAATAATTTAAAGAATTATATAAATTGTTGTATTTTGAAAATATTTTTAACATACAACTTATAACACTTTTAATTTTCTTTTGAGAAAAAAGAATTGATACAACTATACTTTTCTTGATTTCAATGGTTGAGAAAAATGTTTATGAATCACATACGCTATATTTCCTCCTATAAACGCTATCCTCTACACCAAAAAATTCCTCATTTCAAAACCAAAATCACTTCAATTCACCCAATTTTAGTCGTTGGGATCCATTTCCTCATCCTGATCGATGAGATTATCCAAATAGCTTTTCCCACTATTGTAATTAGACTCTGCCTGCTCTTCAATCTCTTCATCCCATTTACTATCCTCGGTCGAGTCCAACGATTCAACTTGTCGACCATCCATCATCCACTCAGGGCACTTCTCTTCATCTCCGTAAACAGTTTTGCCCTTCTCCTTCACAGGACGAATAGGAGCTTCATCAGAAGATATTCTACAGAAGCACTCTGGAAGCGGATGCGACAGAAACGACGTAGGCTTCGAGAAGATGGCCTGTTTCACTATGCCCTCCTCACCCAAGCTCTTGTTGAGATGCTCTTGCACTAACAGTGTCCAGTTGTGCATTGGATGATACAAATTTTCACGACTGCTGTTCAAAAGACTTGCCAGAAACTTCCTGTTCAGCAAAATGATATCATCAGAAAAGATTATTGAATCGCATCATGCCAGCTCCAACCAACAATACGCATAACTTTAACAACAATGGTATAGTCCTAAATTTATCACAAGATATGATGAGTGGGGAAAACTAAAGCATTGTATAGATTAACCAATATCGAAACATTAAATTGTTCGATACACAAATATCAATGCACAATGCACTGTCAGATAAGTGCATTGTGTAATGCATCTTATTCTCATTTGTTTGTGTAAACTCCTTGAACATACAGTAGCAAGTGATCAATATCACTCATGCGCCCATAAGTACTAGGGATCCAGAGAGTATCTCTACAGCCATTCAACACTAGACATAGAAATGTTGGCTTTTGCAACTTCTAGACAGGATTGGAACCCTAGACATCCATAATTTATGTTGCCACAATGTCTCCCAAAAAATATGACTTTCAATTCCCACGAGCTCGATCATTTTTATTTTTTACTTTTAATTTTTTTACCCCACAGAACAACCATTCATTCCAAAGAATCAAAGAGCAGCACGAGCAAGATGTCAGTTTGATCAAGTAACTTGCTCTAATAAGGATTTCACTTAAATCAATTGTTAAGTTAGTTATTAAGTTAATTTATGCAAGGATTAGAAAATAAGAAGGAATTATTAGCCAAGTGTTCAAATCCTACTATAGGCATAAGGTAATAACTAATAAGTGGTGGATCATCCTTAATCTACCTGTCTGGTCGATATGTTCTTGATGAGGATCTTTCATAGAGTCGTTGTCCCATGACCAAGCTTGAAAAATCTGGCCAACTGCTACCGTCATTGTGAAAACCCGGAAAGAATGCATCGGCTTCAAGACAAACTATGTAATCAAGAGCATCCAAAAGTAACCGATGGGCCTGCAACCTCAGATCCATTGGTGAAGGGAGAGGTTCTTTATCGGTCTCAGTAATCCAACCATACCATCCTTCCTTCTCATGACGATAGATAGGTCTATCTGGAGGTGGAGGAAGAGGTCTCGGCCGAGGACCAGCCTTGTTCCAGTCATCTTTAAGTTGTTGCTCACTTTTGGCTGGAGGCGGTCGGTAAAGATCAAGAGGAAGAGTGGTCTCAGGTCCAAATAAGGAATCTAACTCCTCTTTGCTGCAAAAAGAAGTGCGATCCACCACATTGTTAAACAAAGCACGCAGAGGGATCAGCATACGCTGACCACCAAAAGTTTCAGATCCTGCTACATAAATAATTGTCTTAAGAGGATATCCCATTGCCCGAAGGAGAACACCAACCTGCAGAAGTTATAAACAGAAATAAATTATCACAATGTGCCTCATTTACTCGTTCTTAGCCATTTGAAGAATCCAGTTTAATTATTATTATGGACAAAATTAGCTACACAAGCAAACGACTCCTAGCATACATCAATTTCCCACACTCTAAATCACTCTTCCTTTAGCACATGCATGGATCATTCAAAGATTTCGTAGATTTGAGAAAAAAAGGGGAATAAAAACATTTTTTACCCCTAAACTAGGCACATTGTATTAATTCTCACCCTAAACTTTCGTATTTTTATTCTCTCTCACTTTTGGAGTTTGTATCTTTGAACACTTTAATTAAATCAATGAAACTTTTTGTTTCTTGTTAAAAAAGAATATATATATCTCGGATAATATTGTATCATCATAAACATTAGAAGCATCAAATACAATGTATGGCCTTGAGCAATTTAAATTGCGTCAAAATCAAATTATGTCTACACATAGAAATGCTAGAGCTAAATACTTGTCTGAATATGTAACTAAAGCATATTACTTTTTTTTTTTGGCATTGAGAAAATGAAAGAATACGATTATACAAAAGGAGCCAAACTAAAAAAATGGGGCTCCAATCTAACAAAGATGAAATCTAAGGGTAATTACAAAAATCTTTGGACACCCACCCCTAAGGAGAAACATGAAACCGAAAAGAAGGCCAAACCTCTTTACAAGATCTCTCAACCCCTCTAAAAGTCCTTTCATTTCTCTCGTTCTATACCCTAAAAAAAAGCACAAAAATCCACACAGCACAAAAAACGCCCCTTATCTTAAAACAGAGGTGAAGGAGAACCTCCTCCAACATCGAACTACACTCTCTAGAGTGAATAAAGCAAACTCCAAAGGCCTAAAACAAACAATCCCAAACAAAGGATGTAAATTGGCAAGACCATAAGCGATGGTCGAGATCCTCTACAGCTCCCCTACAAAGAATACAATACCATGGACCTATCAATTATCAAAAAAGAAGAACGTTCCGTAATGTGATCCAGAGTATTAATCCTATTGTGCAAGACCTGCCATAGAAAAGTTTGACCTTCTTTGAAATCTTAACCTTCCGTAGCAAAGAGAAAATGGAGCAGGGAGAGGGGAGAAGATCCGCCATACACATGAAGGATTTACACGAAAACCCTTCAGAAGGATTAGGGGAACCAAAGACGAGAATCCTTCCTATCTAGGCTAATAACAAAGTCCCCCAACATGAACAATAAGGCTAGAAGATCCGACGTCTCTCTATCGGACAAAGGACGACGGAAACCAAAAACCAAAAAAGCATGTCACTGTTGTAGCAAGCAAACAAGCATGATGAAAGTGGAACAAATAAAGCAAACCATAAAATAGCACACTTTCTTTATGGTAACATATCTTTTAACATACAAACATTAATCTGACACAACATCGAGATCCTAATTTGATACCGTGAGAAACTTAAGCACGTGACTTCGCAAGCATCCAATTCTTAGGTGAACTGATATCAGTTCTAAACTCCAGGTATTATATTCAATACCACTTCAATCCAAAAAATTGTTTATGGAAACTGTTCACAAGTTAAAATACAAAAAAAAAATAAACTAGAGAAAAATCCATAACCAATTTGAAGTCTAAACTTCAAATAACAAGTTAAAGTGGCTAAATCTAGAAATTAAGATTAGCTTTTTCACTTGGATTCTTTCGTATGGGAAGGTTAACACAGCAGATATTCTCCAAAATAAGCTTCCTGGTTATATTCTTCTGCCTTCAATCTGCCCCCCATGTCAATCCAAAGGAGAAAGCTAGGTTCACATCTTCCTGTGTCCTTTTGCTCGACAGTGCTGGGAACTAACCTTTGAGGAGTTTAATTTGACTTGGGTTTTTGGCAACATAACTGCTGACAATGTCCAACAACTACTTCTCGGGCCAGCCTGAAGTCCTAATGTCAACCTTCTTTGGCTCAATGCTATAAAGACAATACTTTATGAGTTGTGGTACGAAAGGAATCTCACAAGTTTTGAAGAAAAGAGACAATCTCCGGCAATGCGCTTCAACCAAGCTAAGTTTAAAGCTTCTCATTGGTGTTCCTTATCGTCTTTGTTTAGAATTTACTACCCTAGCTTGATTTTTTCTAATTGGAAAGCTTTTACTGTATTTTATTAAGCTTTTGTTTTCTTTCTTCTTTTTCACTCTTTTGAGAGGTTGGATCGTTGAACATTATTGTTCCTTGTCATTATTCCAATGAGAAGTTCGTATCTTGTTCAAAAAAAAGAAATTATGACATTCTAGAGTTGAATTGGAAGGAAAATATCTGAGCCGTGAGTATCAGGCCATTTCTGCACACCTCTGCTTATCCCATGGACAAACTATCTAGAGTTGAATAGGAAGGAAAATATCTATTTTCCATAACCGCGAGTATCAGGCCATTTCTGCACACCTCTACTTATCCCATGGACAAACTATCTGACCTAGTATTTTTCTTTTTCTTTTTATTTATTTATGAAATATTATACTTTCATTGAAAAGAATGAAAGAATGCAAAAGGACATACCAAAAAAACACCCCAACAAACAGAGCCATAACTAGAGATCAAATCTAAGGGGTAATTACAAAATTCTTTGGACACCGAAGCCCAAAGAAACACGAAACCAAATAAGGGCCAACCCTCTCCCCCTGATCTCTCAACACTCTAAAAAACACTCATGATATATTAATATATTCCATGGAACCCTTCTTCATTGAGAGATTGAGGAATTAGCTTCTCATTTAATCTTGCTCCAAATGGTGAGTGTCTCCCCTGGTCATGGGAGATCATCAGAATGGTCCCTTTAATTGTCTAGAGTCTTTCCTCGTAAATCCTTGTTTCTTCGTTTGGTTTCCTCTTCAACCCACTGTTTGTGTTGCTCCGGCTTCTCATCCCTATGGAAACTTAAAATCTGAAAGAAACTTTGGTTCTTTGCTTGGTTGGGCTATGTGAGGACTTATTTTTAACAAAAAAACAAATGAAAAAAAAAATGTTCAAGGAAACGAACCCCCAAAATGAGTGAAAAGAAAAAATATTATGTGAAAAGGATACTTCTGATTTTATGCAGAAAGCCTCACTATCATGTTCTAGACCTAGTTGGTTTGTACTTTGTAGGAGTGATGTGAGGATCTTTTGTGGTTACGCCCCTAATCCATCAAAGTTTAGAGTCGTTTATGGCATAATTTTAGTAGCCTCTGTGCAAAGATCAAGCATTCGAGAGACGTTGTTAGGGGAGGTTATTGCGGATCCTCATTCCCGAGGAGGGATCAGGTGGTAGGTCAATTCCTGGGTTAATTTGTGGTTTATCTAACTAGAAAGAAATAGGAGAGTGTTCCTCGGAAAAGGAAATTCTTGGAAAGGTGAATGGAATGTGATTTTTTTCAATACCTCTGTGGGCCACCAATTCTAATTTATTTTGTAACTATTCTTTGTTTTTGTTAACAAAAATTAGGGGTTGTTTTTGTAATTGGTTTTTGGGGTGTCCCCCTTGTTTTGGTCAGACCCGATTCCATGTCCCTTGTTCTTTCATTTTCTTAACAAAAGTTGGCTTTTTATTACTCTCTCTGGTTGGTTAGCATCATACTTTGAGCAATGATTTCAAAGACACCTAAATTAACTACTTAACCCTTTGACTATTGGCCTGAATCATGTTGGTTATTCAAATATCAGATAATAATCTTCATTTGGAAACCTAGGACTTCTCCAGCTTATCCATTCCTTATTTGGTAATCCAAAAATCAGTCAGCAATAAATCATAAAAATTTAAATTCAAGAGGATCTGCTCTAAACAGTAAAACTTGCACACAATCTAGACAACAGTAATTAGTCAAGCTCGAACCTCTTCAGGCATTAAAGGGCAGGCACCATTATCTCTCCGTTTGCGGGAATCTACACTCAGGTCCTCCCTGATAATCCCTCTTTTGATCATCTCCGCCCTTCGATACTGTATGAGTTCAGTGTGGACATCCTAAACAAATACATTAAACTCAAGTAACTTGGAAATGATAAATAATCCGAAACTCATTGATAAACAAAATCCATTTCATTTGTAAACTATTATACAGAACAAAAGCCTCAAACAACTACCTGAAAGAGTTCAGCACAACCGTGGTATGCCAGGGAATCTCTGACTAATCCAGGATGAAAAGCGAGGAAAGTTTGACCCCATGCTCGTAACCTGTAAAATGTATAAGATAAGGCTAAGATTCATCAGGGTGCATGTACAGTTCAGGGACACCAGTATACACGTGTAATCTGACAGTATTACATCGTAGTCCACACATCAACGGGAAGATATATGCAGAGAGTTTAGCTTTGTTTCTTTTTTTTTTCTCTCTCATCATGATAAACCAAATTTAGAGTGCAAAAAAATCATTAAATCAAATTCCAGCCCACTAGTCAGAAGATACCTCTGCACTATTTTCTTCCCAAGCATCTGAACTTCTGGCCGAAAGTTGAGTGCGTGGAAGGCAACCCTGCATCTAAGCCTTTGGAGTTCGGACAAGCCAGAAGGAAGGATGGACTGGGGATACAAAATATAAAAAATGAAATTCTCTAATCCATACCTATATTATGTATACATTCAAAGAAAATGTAAAGCAACAACGAGAGTCAATGCAGCGAAGTTGCAAAAATAAGGAAAGCCTAAAATTACCATATACGTCAACAATTACTAATAACACTACGGTATCGAATTAAACAGCCGAGAAGAAAAGTCTAAAATTACCATCTACATCTACAACATTGTAAACTAATCATGCTCTCTATTTAGGAGGTTTTAACTCTTTATGCCTCCTAGTATTCAGGTAAAAACTTGTTACTTTATAAAATAATAATGGAAGGAGACTTTTCATTAATCAGATAAAAGATTACATAATATATTTTCTCCATTTGAGGAGCTTGCAAGAAAGCAGCTTAAGGAGAATAATTATAAAAGTATTAAACAACAAGCACCAAGAAGAGCCTCCTCCATTATCTAGCCTTCTCATTTTAGAATTCCTTTCCAGCGGATTGCCCATGAAATTGCTTTGACTACATTTAACCATAGAACCCGTCTTTCCTTTCCTATTAAGGCTATATCATATTGTCTTTAGTTAAGTAATCCAAGCCCCAAGAGAGATTAAGGATATGTTTGGGTTTTTTTTTTTTTATGACAATACTGCTTTTAACCATTCTTACTAACTCAAAGATATTTTATGCTTGTATACAAGTCATTTTCATAAGATTGTCCTATCCAGTTTATGTGCACTCGACCAATCTCACAAAACAATTGCTTGACCTTACAATTTTATGATTTTAACATCCTAAGTGGCTATCATAGGATTTAAAAGCATTTCCCCAATGTTTGTGTACAAGTTAGACCAAGATCATTTGTTCTTCCATTGTTCGTTTGTTCAAAATCTTTGCCAGATGATATTGTCCTTGGGGTTCTTTTACCTCTTTGAAAAGAGAACACAACCTGGGCATGAGAATCAAGCTTCAGCGTTTCTTTTGCAGCCTTTCTGCTGTATTTCGGACCCCTATCCTTCCAACAAACTTGAGTTTTACATAAATTATAGAGAAGCTTGTGTTTCAATTGGGATTTATGTGGGAATTTCATATACGGCTTTCAATCAGATAAATGAAAAGTAGACACATTTTAGTATACCATTTCGCTATCTTAACATCAAAACAAAAACTCGACTGTTTAGAAGTAAAACTACCTGCAAGCATCCACCATCATTAAGAACCAAGCCTATGACCTTGGCATTCTTCAAGCTTGGAAGAACTTTTTGAAGATAATAGCTAGGAGAGGCAGAATTTTTGGGTCTGAATGTAGGGAACTCATTTCTTTTCCTTAAAGCCTTCAAATTATCCGGCAAACTTTTCACAATGAGTACATCATTTTTGAGATAAGATATGAACTGTTCTTCGTTGTAAAGATAAGAAAAGCTCTTGAATCTGTCACTGAACAATTAGATTAAGTGTAAGCAGTAAAATGCAGATGACATGCTCGCATAGGGAGCCTAAAAGGGAAAGATAATCAATGGGCTAGCATATTAATCAATAAATACCTAATTCCTTTTGCATGAGTACTTTCTTGAATCTCAGGGAGGACAAGAGTGGCATTCAGTAGCCTGGATATAGCGACCAAATCACAGATCTAGGAAAGAAAAAGGTACGGATTAATACGATGAAATTTAAAGTTAAAAAAGGTCATGCTTTTATGTATCTTACCGAAGATCTTATATTTGCAAAACCACCAAATATTTTTGCATAAATGAAACCATTATTCTGTTCAATAGCCGCTGCAAAGAAAAATAAAATGATTAGTCATGCTCTAAATGTACTCCAGCTCGCAGTGATTGAACCATAAAAAAATAGAGGAAAAAAAAAAGGAGAAAAGGCTAAAACTAAAAGAAATATAAAAATAAGAAATTTAAGTTCAAAATAGAAAAGTTAAAGACCACGTGAGTGGGAATGCCTCTTTGGTATGCAAATTGCAAGTAATCTTAAATAAGTAAATGATGTGCCTAAAATGGTGAAATTACTTGGGTTTTTCCTTTTTACTTTTCCTATAATACAATTACTTGTTGCCATAAATAAAAAAAATACCTTCTTACAGGAGTAATACTAAGTGATTAAAATATGTTTTTGTTAATTTTTTCCAAAAAGAAAACCCCTTAATTATGAGGAAGTAGAAGATCAGGCTCATTTGCTTCCCTTGCTTGATGATTATAAGAGGGGCAGGGGCACAGATGTTTGGAACATCTCAGTGTCCTTCTCAACCTCTCTTCATGCTCAACCATATCAGTGATGTATTGCAAGCTTTCGTCAAAATAATTTTTTAATTTGCTTGGAAGTAGAAGATCCCAAGGAAGAGTCCAATTCTTTTTTCCTTTTTCTTTTTAGACTATTACATGTGATAATATTACTACTTCAGTTAGGATACAAAGAAAGTATCCAGAACTTAGAAAAGAGAATGTCAGATTCTCTTTAGGTGGTAAGGAAAATAACGTGCATCATCTTGTGAGATAAGAGCTAGTGTCTTTTTAGGGGGTTGGGAGCTTAAGAAGAAATAATACGACTTTCGGCCCCTTCTGTTGGCTGTTTTTTTGTATGCTCTTTGTATTCTTTCATTTTTCTTTCAATGAAAGCTCAACTTTTTCATCAAAATAGTAATAATAATAATAATAATAATATGACTTCATTGGCAAAATGATTGTGGACATTTCAGCTGGAACCTTTGAAGTTGAGGAAAATTGTAATCAAAAGTATCTATGAATAGGAAGAGGGGGGCTGATTTTCAGAATTACTGAAATATCAAAGAAGTAGAAGCCTGTGGACCCGTATTCCAAACATTAGACTACCTTTTTGAAAACCATATCAAATTTTAAGTGGACTCAAGTGAAAATATGAAGCTCTGGAAAGGATGTATGAGCAGATGATGAACCATTAATGGCAAAACACCTGAAACTTTTTGTTGTGATAAAATCAGAGAAAAGTACGAGAGAAAAATGTGTCATAGCAAGGCAATGCCCTGGAAGATAATAACTCAGAATCTTACTGATTTTGAGCACAGTTTGGGAAATTGTCGAGCTTGCTGAAGACTGAAAATTAAAAAAGAGGATGATATGGTAAAATGGAGATGGAAGAATTCATGGGTTTTCTCCACTAATTCACTTTTCCTAGCACTGGCAAATGAATAAAGAATTATCTTCAGTGATATATTATGGCAAGACACTTATTCCAACTAACTAAATGATTACCCAAATCAATACCCTCACAAGCACAAAGAAAATCTCTCGTTAGTTGGTTCTCAAGCTGCTAATGGTTGATGCAGTCCCTCCTCAATGTAGAATTTCTACATGCAAAGTATATCAAACGTTTGCCTTTTTGAAAATTGAAATTAGGAGGACAATTTACAATCCGAACTCTGGTTTTTCTCCAGAAATCATTGGAAACTAGCTTGGAATGAGATATACTGAACCTCAATGAAACTTATGAAAATAGTAAGGCAATCCAGCAGATCTGGTAGGGAAGCTAAAATTCTCTACCCATTTCACATTAAGACCTTCTTGATCAAACATTAACGATATGACTAGTTGGATCCAATAACAAAAAAATACATAAAGACATCAAAATCCCATTACCATGATAACTGCTTCTGGAGCTGGTATAGGGTTGCAACGCAGCTAATGGCTTTACAGCTCCCCACAACTTCTTGCTCCTATAACCCTGTGGAATTTTAGGCAAATTAAAGTTAATCACGAAAATATACTCGTGCATTGATGTATTTACTAAAAAATAATCACAATTAAGAAGTCAACATCTACCTGCCCACCAATAATTGAAGTATTCAGCAAACTAGCCATCTGGGTGTAATATACCAAACTTACGCTCGAGGATTTTGCGATAAAGAGGTGAAGCAGCAAAGATGCCAAAGACAAGACAAGAACGAAAAGAGCAATCCATTTTATCTTTGATCTGAACAACATCTTGGCTCATCGAGGACCAACCGTTGTCGCAGTTCCACTACATCCTAATTCCACAGGCAACGCAATAACAATTGCAATTCATATCCGAATCCAAGATCCAACCGCCGCGCGCATCAAGAAGTACAAATTACAAATAAATGACAAATACGAGCGTCCAAGGTACAATCCCTAGCAAATGCAAAGGGAAATGCAAAAGAATTTTCAACTGGGTTACCGTGAAAACATATAGGAAACCACACTAATGCGAAAATCGGCACAGAACAACAGCATTACACCCGACAGAGAATATCGAATTCCACGATCTGGAAACGCAAGCATGGATTTGACAAAAGTATCAAACTGACATTGAAATCAGTAACAAGGGTTGGAGCATAAACAATCAAATCGGCAGAATCGGAAACCAAGCATGAGACTGAAAGAAGAAGCGCGTATAAAGCAGAGAGAGAATGGAAAGGGGAGAAATTACAGAATAATCCTGGAGAATTGAGAAGCTATGGCGGAAATGGGAAGAATTCGATTACCTGAAATCCAAGGAAGAAGAAAGCGAGAAATGGGAGTTTTCAAATCAGTATCCTCTGCGCAGACTGGTGAAGAAATCTCCGTTCTATAAACCAGAGATGCTCACTGTTCACTACTTACACTAGACTCCACTGGTTTCCGGTTTTTTTTCTTTAATTTTTTTTTGTAATGTTAAATTATAGATTTTGTACCTTATTTGGAAATGGAAGTTTCAACCATGTTCTCCTTAAACTTTGTCATGACGTCCCCTTTAAATTACCAGAATGTATCGTGTATGTGTTTTAAATTTTGAGATCCCGTAGGATATTGATTTTGTATTTTATATTCAATTCTACAGTATAGTGGCGGATCCAGAATTTCAGGTTAGGGGCAAACTACAAATAAACATTGTTGATGGCGAATTTTGGCTGAGGGCCACGTGGTACCTGGACGAGCAGTCCGGCCTTGGATCCACAAGACCCGAAACCAAAGAACTCGACACTGGTACGATGTCCTGCCTAATACACTCTGACGATCAAGTTAGTAATCGGAATAGAAATAGGAATGTGACACTAGAGGTATTAGTGACAGGTTTTTCACTTATTTGGTGAGGATGATCTTCCTTCCTTTTATAGCCTCGATAGGCCGACCAGGAAGGATGACAGTTGGAAGTGGCAGGGACATCGCGCACTGTACGGTTGGACATAGGGGGTGCGTTCCCGACAGCAGTAGGGTGGCTCCGCCACCTGTGCCTTCTGGACATGTCGTCCAGGGCTGCGGGATGCACCTACTGTACCAATAGCATGCGCCACTAATTGTGGCTGGGTATGGGGCATAACTGTTTACTCTTTTTCGTCCCCCTTGAATGGATGCGTTCTCTGCTCGGCGGCATCCTCTCTAAGAAGGTGGTTCTCAGTGGGCTCGCGCTTGAAGAAGGACGAACACGTGTCCTGTTCGGACGCTACCCATAACAGTTAGCCCTCTTTTGGGGTCATGTCACTTTGTCGATTAGTGGGCTGGGACCAAAAGTGTTTGGGGTCGGATAGGGCGCGTGGGCGTTCCATTTGAATCTTTACGAATCGATTGGTAGGGCCCACGAGTTATTGTGACTGCGTTGATCAATCGTCAGCGTGTACGACCATTTTATGGGAGGACACGTGCCCATCGCTGTTTCGCGAGCAATCGCGATCTCTTAGGTCGTTGGGATCCGAAATGGTGCTCAGAGATCTTTTTAAATCCATCTGCAGGCGGGGTGATGATTACCCCCTGTTTTGCGCCTTTGCTCCTTTGATTCCTTTTTGGATTGGTTGCTTCCATGGCTCGCCGTCCGTTCGTTCACCACATTCCATCACTGGCCATCGAGCAAGACCTTTCAAATCTCTGCACCACTTACGACATCTCCGATTATGTCCTCATGCGCCTCCAATCTACGGCCGAAAGAATAGATACCCCTCCGCCTGGCTGGGTGAGTTTCTACCCGCAGATGTTTTGGAATGAGGTCAAGCTTCCCCTCTCCCTTTTGGCCCAGGTGTTCTTGGTTTTCGCTGACGTGGCTCCAACTCCCAACGCATGGGGAGCTTTGATGGCATTAGCCATCCTTTGGCCGGAATTGGGAGGGGGCAAAGCGATGACTCTCTCACTGCTGTCTACCATAACCATGATGAAATCTATAAGAAGCTTCCCCAGGTTCTTCAGCTTGAACTCCCGCTGAGGGTCACTTTTCAATGCTCCAACCTCGAACAAGAATTGGAAGGATCATTGGTTTCTCGTTGGAGAGCAGTGGTTAGTCGGTGACAGTTCGGTGGTCGGATGTGTGTTTAGTTGCTTCAGGGAGCACGGTTTGTTCTTAAAAAACTCCCCTTTCTTTTCTTTTTGGCTAGTGCGGCCTTCTAAGCTTCTGGTTTTTCTTGGTAGTATTCCTAGTGGGGCCCCTCCCGTCGCCTCTCGAACGGACAATGTTTTGAAGAAAATCCTTGCTATCCCTTGGACTCAAAGAATCCCTTCACTTATTACGATGAGTGAGAGGTTAGCCGATCATCGCTTGATCGGGAATCCCAATGGTCCAACTAGAGGCAACGATGAGCGTCCTGCCCCCCGTGTGGTTCTGACAGGTAGGGACGATGGCTTTTCTCCCTTTGGTGTTCGGCCATAATTTTTTTTACTGGTTTTTTTTGTACAAATCTTACGAAGCCACCATCCATCTCACCCACAAGACGCGAACTTGTAATTTGACCTATCCTTCAGATTGGCAAAGCTTCTCCGTGTGGCATGGTCAGAAATGGGAGCGCTACTTCGACTAATGTCGTGGCTCTTGTTTCTTCGGGCCCATCTGTCAGGGCTGATGGGGGAGCCCTTCAGTGGACATAGTTCCTCGACCTGAGGACCCGATCCCCCCGCTTAAACGTCGTCGTCTGGTGAGGTTCGGTGATGCTTCGCCTTCGTCTGACCCTGCCCCCGTGGAGGAATCAGTCTTTCGGATTTCGGAGATTATTGAACCCAGTTCGAGTGATACGACTTCTCAGGAGCCCTCTACCGACAAGGAGTTACCGCTACAGTGAGAGACGTTCTGGGTCCGAGCAAAAGGTTGACGGGTTTTTGAGGATGCGGTGCCGGATGGAGACGAAACCCTTCGACGATTCCGCCTCTAAGAACCCTCGATCGATGGTTCCTTCTACTCGGCGCGAGGAGGACATCACGTGGGCCTGCTTCAATGCCCTGAACGAGGCCACTTTTATGAACCCCTACCGACTCATTGGTGATATCCGAGTATCCGTTCAGGAGATGGCTCGTCGCTCCTTCAACGATGGGATCGTTCCTCGGCCTTTCCATGTCGTGCGAGAGTGCCGAGATGAGGCTTTCGACGCAGTCGAAGTGAGATATTCTTCTCTTCCTTTTTTCTTAATTATTCTTGTTCCCTGTCTAACGCCCTCACTAGGTTACTTCTGCCAGTTAGCCGATCGTTTTCATGCCCTATCCCTGGCCTTGCGGGATGAGTTGGCAGCTGGTAGGTTTGGGAGAAGAGCATCAAGTAGAGGTACAATGCCTCCAAACTTTGTTGAGTGCACTTGACCGATCCACCTTTACTCACGCCGAGGCGAGCAAATTCAGTCGGATAAACATATTGTCGAGATGATGCATCACGGACAGAGAAGAGAGCTGCTTGATAGTGTATCGAGTTAGATCGCATCCAACGCCAAGTAGCTTCTGCTGAAGTCTGCATCGGGAAGAGGATGTCCAATCTCGCATGGCCCAAGTGATTGAGGCAGAGTCTCGTGCTCAGAAAGCTAAAGCGGCATGTAAGAAGGCTGAGGAGGACCTCGAGATGGCACCGATGGAGGTGACTTCTTGAGATAGTCAGATCGTGGACCTAGAAGAGCACCTGAAGGAAAACGAGGATAAATTGCTTAAAGTCGAGGAGGGGTAAACACCGGTGGCGACCGATTTGTCTTTAAGCAAAGAGGCTGAGGAGACTGCTCTGGATTCCTTACACCAAGAATTCGCCAAGGTCGCTAGTCTTGAAGTGGCTCTAGCTGAAGCTAAGGCCATCTTGGGCGACCCAGAGCTTCTAAAGTTCACTTCGTGGCACGGATGGCTTTCCATGCTTTTGAGCAAGAGTTTCAGCGTACAGAGCTCAACTTTGTGCGGGTTTGCCTGCAAGATCGATGTCCTGAAGAATAGGGAAGCGTTCTTGATGCCTTCGAGCGCTTCTGGCTGATACCCGGTAGCTGTGAGTCTGAGGAACATATCCAGCGCCTTCTTTCTCAGGGGTACAGTTACCCTGATGCTCTGGATTCTTCAATTTGCGGCTTCTCATCCTACTTCACCCTCTTAGGATTATTGTCTTCCGCTTTTCTTGTGCTATTTTTGTTCTCCTTTTGTGTATGGGGCCTTATATCTGTTGTTTGTAATCTCTACTTGTTTTTTTTTTTATTAAAAGACAAGACCAGCTTTATTTGATATCACTGCTTTATTTGATGTCTCCAACGATCCCTCCCCTAGTGATTTTCCTACTATCCCTGGAAGGGAAGTCACTATTTCTGCTTGGAGACTTATATGGCGTGTTTGTTAGATGGTTGCGAATACGTCCGAGTGGAAGTCTTAGTCGGTTATTTCACTCGGGAAAGCGGCTTTGGAACATCAGTTCTCCAGAGGCTTGCTCACGGCCAAGCGGTGCCACGTAGGCTATCCAGACTTAGGGGCAGCCTTGGAGCTTAGAGTGTTCCTGAAAAGGCAAGAATATGTCTGAACACAACAGTAGACTTTTTGGAGCTAGGGGTTCTTTCTTCCTGAACTCCTCCGGACCTTGTGCAACTAAGTAAGAACGAACTTGTTGCACAGGTTTGTGAACTTGAGCGGGACCTCTGAAAGATGAAGGAAGAGTTCGTTGACGTCGAGAACGATTGTTGCTTTGCTATGGAAATGGTTCGGGATGTCTTTCGAGGGATGGAGGATACG